TTTCATAATTATTTTCCTGAAAAAAAAGGCAATTTCTTCATTCTTCTAGTGTGTTAAAATTTTATAGCAACATCTGGTAAGTAAGCAAGGTAACATTGACGAAGGAATCCTGAAAAACCAGTTATCCAAACGTGAATCCTAGAGGTGGACAATACAATACCTGTACTCTGAAGGAGGGGCGGGTATGTTGCAGTTAGGAGGAGCATTTGAACTGTGATGTCTGTGCACTTCTAGAAAGACAGTTATTTAGTAAGAAATAATGAATGTGTTTCTTGTTTTTGGGTCACCTTACCTTGGTTTGACACAGTCAGAAAGACAGCTACTTAGTGAGAAACAGTATGTTTCTTTTTTTTGGTGGGGGCAACAGTCACTATGCTTAAAAAATAATAAGCTGTATACAGTACTGCTGTGTCCCTTAAAATTAACTTCACTATAATCTGAATACATTGTGTGGTTTTTTAAAATGACAAAATATACTTTAACTACACACAAGAAGAAGTTTCATAGTTATTTTCATATACAGTGGACCCCCGCATAACGATTACCTCTGAATGCGACCAATTATGTAAGTGTATTTATGTAAGTGCGTTTGTACGTGTATGTTTGGGGGTCTGAAATGGACTAATCTACTTCACAATATTCCTTATGGGAACAAATTCGGTCAGTACTGGCACCTGAACATACTTCTGGAGTGAAAAAATATCGTTAACCGGGGGTCCACTGTACTTATGTAATGGGTTATAGTTTTTAAAAGTGGCCAAGCAGTTGTTGGGGAAAATTAAAAAAGAAAACTGAGATGGGAAAAGGGGTTTAAACAACATGAACTAATAGAATATGTACTGCAATATTTTTTTTAAACACTGGAACAAGTTTAAAGGCATACAAAAAATCTTACTTTTTCACGCAAAAATGTAATGTAGTCTCGTGTCCATTTTGTAGTCAGTGGTATTATGCATCGATAATGTTTTTCCATTACTTCATTATATTTTTCATTTGTGCAGTGGAAGGCCCAAATATCCCACCTGGAATATGTTATGTCTCATTCACACCAATAATCACCTATCTTACTTAGTCCAGTAAGGCCTAGTATGCAGTCCCCTTTGTCACCTCTATGCTACTGTTCATCTATTGTTCAGAACCTCAGGGTCTCATGACAATGTCAACAACTCTTCTCTTTTTCATTGCTTTGGATAATTTTTCTGTTTGATTGTCTGTTCAGAATAACCAGTTATTCTATAAACATGTGCATTTCAGAAAAATATATGCTGCATGATTGAAGAATCTACAGCAATTATGCAACATAGATGATGATAAATAGTATTAGGTTGGTAGACAGCAACCGCCCAGTGATGTACTACCATACTGCCAAGTGAGTATAAAACAGAAGCCTGTATTTGTTTTACATGATGGTAGGATTGCTGGTGTCTTTTTTCTGTCTCATAAACATGTAAGATTTCAGGTACGTCTTGCTACTTCTACTTACACTTAGGTCACACTACACATGCATGTACACATCTATGTATACACACTCATCTGAGTTTTCTTTGATTTTATCATCTTAATAGTTCTTGTTCTTATTACTTTTCCTTTCACATCCATGGGGAAGTGGAATAAGAATCTTTCCTTAGTAAGCCATGCGTGTTGTAAAAGTCAACTAAAATGCCAGGAGCAATGGGCTAGTAACCCCTTTTCCCATATAGCCTACTAAAAAGAAAAAGAAGAAAACCGTTAATGTGGGATGTTTGAATGTGCATGGTTGTAATGCAAATGATAAGAAAGAGATGATTGTGGATGTTATGAATGAAAAGAAGCATGAGCGTGTTAGATAGGAGTGAATGGAGACGAATGATACTTGGGACCTGACGATCTGTTGGAGTGTGAGCAGGGTAATATTTAGTGAAGGGATTCAGGGAAACCAGTTATTTTCATATAGTCGGACTTGAGTCCTGGAAATGGGAAGTACAATGCCTGCACTTTAAAGGAGGGGTTTTGGGATATTGGCAGTTTGGAGGGATATGTTGTGTATCTTTATACGTATATGCTTCTAAACTGTTGTATTCTGAGCATCTCTGCAAAAACAGTGATAATGTGTGAGTGTGGTGAAAGTATTGAATGATGATGAAAATATTTTATTTTTGGGGATTTTCTTTCTTTTTGGGGTCACCCTGCCTCGGTGGGAGACGGCCGACTTGTTGAAAAAAAAAAAAAAAAAAAAAACCATAGCTCAATTAAAGGCTCCCCATTTACATTTACCCCTGGCACCCCAAATTTACCTACTACTCCCTCCATAACATTTTTACCCACTTTAGCATTGAAATCCCCAACCACCATTACTCTCACACTTGATTCAAAACTCCCCACGCATTCATTGGGACCAGCTAAAACAGTAAGGATCATATGGTATTTAGGAGATGGGAGGTAATCAGAATGGATCCAAATGAGGGAAGGGTAGCTCTAATTTCTTAGATCAAGAGCCCTTCACTAGCATCAAGTCACCCTACCCCTTACATTGGAGTGAGTGTGATAAAGAAGATAGTAGCAGTAAAAAGTGCTTGAAGAGATCATCAAAAACAGAAAGTGATACAGGCAATGTGGTTCAATGAAGCTAGAGAAGCAACTCTGATTGCCAGCAGATATTAGTTAACCAGATACCTCTTGGTCCTGCCCATTTTGAATAAATATATTTCAACTGTACCCATTTTTAAATATATAAAAAAATTCAAGTTAATCTCCAATTATGATAATATTTAGATTATACATTAATTTCATGCTCTACCCTTCCAACTATTTATTACTGCACTGTACAACTATGACTTCAAAAAGATTTGCAGGAATATGCTGTCAATAATGCTATTAACCACAGATAATATCAAAATTCTTACTGAATTCTGAACAATAAAATATTAAAATGCATAGAAGATATTAATTAAGGTTTCTAAACAGCCAATATCTCTGCAAATTTTTAGGTCACATCTATTCTAACTACCTGTGTGTTGTGCTTTGTGTGTGTCTAGTGTGAACTTAAGAGCAAAGGACTGGCCGCAGATGTCACAGGTGAAAGGCTTGTTAGAGGCATGGGTGGCCAGATGAGTTTGTAAGGAGCTTCGTAACCCAAATCCTCGGTGACACACATCTAGGAGAAAACAATTATTAACAAAACACTAAATTACTTTTAATCTATACTGTAGGACACAGAAAGAAAATGTATATATCTTGCATGTGTGTGTGATTACTTGTTTATGTGGGATTTTTTATTTGTTGTTACATTAGTAGTGCTATATACATGGTGTACCATCTTTGGCTGATGAGTTAGACGCATGTGCAACAGTCGAGTTAAACTTCTTTATGCTATTTGTGACTAGGGATTCACTATAGCAAATCACCTAAATCCAATAATAGCTCAACAAAAACTGGCTGTACGAATGATTACCCAGTCTAGTGCCATATAATACTTTCTCCAGCTATTCAAAGTTTAAACTAACTTAATATACATAACACACACATTCCTCTTTGTATGACTAGTTAATGGTACAAGTTGGGCCGAAATGTCATCATAAGTTTTAGCCTACCATGTGCAGGTTATTTATGTATTGTTTCAGTCACAGTATTGTGCCCTTTTATTCTTTTATATACATAATATTCACTCATACTACTGTGCATACTAGTATATGTACAGGACAATCAATTCTAATATAAACCCTGCTTTGAAACTCTTCCTTTACAGCTGCAACAGAAATCATAGGCATAACACAAGACACAAAAATCTCTTTGATATCCCCTGTGTCCAGCTCAACCTGATAAAAACTCAATGTGCATAAAAAGCCATAAAATCTTGAACTCTCTGGGTGAAGATTCCAAAAATTCCCATCTGCCAACGGCTTCAAACCACCTTCTTATATTAATGTGCTCTTGACACCAATATATTATGTCAAACAAATATTGAAATCTGTTTTCATCCAATTCTCTCTTTGTTCTTATTCTGGCTTTCCTTCACCTGTATGTTACTAGATATGTATATCATACTTGTGGTATTTTTTATTAAGTCAAGTAACTAGTTTTGCTCACCCTGATAAACTTGACAATTTTAACTTACTATAATTTTTATTTTGAATTAGCTGAATAAATTTTAAGCACAGAATAGGATAAATGTTGGCCAAGATGCTATGGATTCTACAGGCCTTCAGTTTATTATTTGTCCTTTGCAGTAATACTGCATGTCCTTTCTTTTAGACAAAGCTGTTGTACTGATAATCTTGCATAGTATTACATCTTTATTTCTTATGTCCCTATCTGCCAGAGCACTTCTCAGTGAATTTTTAGTGCATCATATTGTTTTGTATTTAAATTAACTAATACATATCACTCTGTCAGAACAAGACATTTTTTTATTCTTTCTGTTATTTTATGAATTAACTTGTACCTATTTTAAATTCCTATTAATACCATGTATTACACACTTAAATATAAAAAAATAAAACTAAATTTTACGTACAGTATAGGCTAAGTTTTGCCTGAAATGCTATGAATCCTATGGGCCTTCTGATTATTGTATGCTTTATATAGTAATTTTGAAGTAAAGATTTGTATTGTTTTTGTACTGTTACATGTCCATCTGGAAAGACTGCTAGAGAGCAAGTCATGGAGAAAATGCTTTCTTCACTGCATCACTCTGAATTGATTTGAAATGATTCATAGGTTAAAAATAAAATTTAAAGTAATAGATTTTAATGAATAAATCAAGTTCTTAATTTTGCTTAGGAATTATATTATTTGAGGTTACATCAAGAGGAATAAAGAAGTAACCCTTCTAATGACAACGTAAGTTAAAACAAGCATACGTAAATTAAGATATGAAAGGCATAATAAGGTGAATTATCTTTTTAATAATTTGGCATAAAATTAGCCATATTCAGTTAACAGATACAAAATCCTTACAGCAAGAAAACTGTCGCTGATGTGAAGGTACATGACAGGTAAGGCGATGTTTCTGGAGGTAGGATGCAGTACTGAAAGTTTTACCACAATTACTGCAACCCCACGGTCGCTCCCCAGTATGAGTTCGGTGGTGTTGCTTCAATTTAAGGAGACGGTTAAATATTTTGCCACACACCACACACTCTAAGCCTTTACCTCCAACTGAGCGACGAACCTCAAGAGGAATCTGAAATACATATCTCCTGTTAACGTCAAATGAACTCATTTACTTTACCATATAGATGATCTATGGCTTTAGTTATAATGTAAATATATTACTGTATGTTGGTCAGATCAGAGAAGGCAAATTACCAATAACATACTTTTCAATTCTACAGCAAACCTAGCACCTAAGTGTAGATACAGTAAATTAGCATCAATTGACAAGAAGAAAGTATCGCTATTCCAGGGAAGGTCTGCTCAACAGGTTCATATCTGCTAACATTTCAGGCGTTGTAAAGAAAACAGAAAGGTATTTATATTCCCCATTCTCTCTAGTATATAGGCCCTTGAAGTGGAGTGACAAAGTTGAAAGGCTCTTGATCCAAGGCACTGAAGCCATCCTCCTCTTCCTCAGATTAAATACAAATGCCCCCCATTCCCCTGGCACTGTATGACCCTTACAGGATAATTGACTATCATCTTTGATAGTCACAATTCAGCTCATCAAGTCTTACAATGAGCTTGTCCTGAATGTTCGGACACTCACACCTGTAGTCTTTGCTGTTTTATCAAAAGCCTGAGGGTGAAGAACTGCATAACCATCATTCATGATGAGCTAAGTAACTGAGCATAAATTTCAGACCCAACTTTGCCTCACTGGGACATAAACAAGGGTATGGCAATTGACTTCCTTTCATAACAGAAAAAAAACTACAGTCTTCTGAGGTTGTGTATGTGAGGGGCTTGACCTTCCAATAGGCACGTGTGAGTATGTCAGATGGAAGCGAGTGGAAACAAGTGATTTTTATCAATCATTCAATAAAATTTATTTCCACATGATACATCACCTGTACAAAACTGGATTACATTTCAATAATAAAATGGAAAGCCCCTTATTTATGCAGAGCATTTTGGGTAAGCTTTAACCTAACTTACATCTAGAAGGACTTTAATATGTTAAATAAATGTATATAAGACAATGCTCCATGGAGAAGTGGAGAAGAATCTTTCCTCTGTAAGTCATGCATGTCATATGTGACTGAAATGCTGGGAGCAAGGGGCAAGTAATTCCTTCTCCTGTATAAATTACTAAATGTAAAAAGAAGAAAAACATCATGAAAGCACTTCTTCTTTTTTTGGGTCACTCTGCCTCAGTGGGAGATGGCTGGTGTGTTAAAAAATAAGCATTAATGATATTCACAATAAAAAAGATTTAACAAATATGAGTCAAATGTGTAAGTAGCAGACTTAATGTGGTGTTGGAGTATGAGCAAGCTAACAATTATGAAGGGATTCAGGGTAAACTGGAAAGCTGGAAGTCCTGGAGGTGGCAAGTACAGTGCCTACACTCTGAAGGAAGGGTGGAGATACTGCAGATTAGGTCATCTAAACTAATGTTTGTATGTCTCTGGCAAGACAGTGATAAGAGCGAGTGATGGTGAAAGTACTTCTTCATTTTTGGGTCATCCTACCTAGGTAGAAGAGGGCTGGTGTATTAAAAGAAATATTTTTTATGCCTTACAATCCCTTAATAATTACTTGTAGAAGCTGTTTTTAGGTTACTGTAAACTTTGTTAAATCTATTCAGTGAAGCCCATTTACAAGTACTTACACCAGTACATGTGGCTTCTTGAGTTAAATAATCTTTTCACTCTCATCACCACTCACCTCCTGGAGCTCGTTCACCATGAAGGTCATTGGGTTGGATGTAGAGCCTGGCGGGTTATTGCTGAGATTCAAATTCTGCCCCATTTGTAGGTCTGCCAGGCCCTGAGCTGCTTGTAGATCTGCCGGGTCACGTCCACTGTGCTCAACCTCCACAGGCTCTGGACATGCTAAGTGCGGAGTTAGACTAAGGGAATCTGAAGGAGGATCCACATAAACAGCAGCAGTGGAGGTTGATACTGTGGCAGCTTCATTGTTGTGTGATACAATATCTTCTGAGGATGAAGCTGCAGAGACTGATCCTATCTGATCTTCCATTTGGGCTTCTAACTGACAATGACCATCAAGTTTTTGGTCAAGGGCTACATGGTTTATTGTGTGTGTTGGGTGGCTGTCATTACATGTTGTTTCCTGGTTAGTAACACTTGCAGAAAGCAATGCTGCTGCCGATGCTTCTGCCTCTCGAGCAGCTTGAGCTGCCCTCTCCACTGTAAGAAAATTCAGCAATAGTTTATTCCATAACAAATATTGTACAAAGTTTCCTAATTGGTGTGGCTAGCTGCCATAATAGTTTCTGTATACAAAACAAATTATTGGATCTGATCTTCAAATGACAAACCATGTCAGATATACAACCACCATTAGGTTGAGAATGCTACCTAACTGACCAGTACCCAGAAAGGTGGGTGTAGTAGCTTTGTAGTGGGTGTAGCATTGCAACCTAATATTTTTTTTTTTTTTGCAATTCTTTGAAACCGGCCTTTAATCTTTTAAAAAGTTTTTTCAGAAGCACTATATTCAAGAAAAAGTATTATACTGAGTATTAGAAAAACTAGTGAGTTATATTGAATCTTAATATCAAAGACATAAATGTCTTTGTTTTTAACACAAATGTAATTAAGGACAGGGTTACCTTAAGTATGGTTGGATGTATTGAAATGTAGCCAAAGAATTACACATAAACACTCCCATTACAGAATCATTTAAATTTTCTATTAGTTGGCTAGCTCACTCGCCAAAATCATAACATTGAAACTTTTGTCTCAAAAAAAGTTAGTTTTATTAAAAACATCATCAATGTCTCTTGAGCTATCAAGTGCCCAGTAATACTGTGTTTTACTCTATCCATATACAGCACTGTATTTGATGGAATACACTACATTTTAGTGTGAATGCTGTACATTATACTCTCAGACATGAGTCAAGATACAGAGATATGGTTTATTTTTGTTAAAATCATTACAAATGCTGTAATGTATGTTTTTTTTTAATCTGGGGAAGTTTTAAAAGCATATGTGTCATACAGTGACTAGGGAATCAGAGACATTCAGGATCAATCCAAAGAAGGGGAGTATAAGTCCAGTTCCTGGGATCAGGATCCCCTCACCAGCAGATACAGTTGCGGGTTGTCCCTTGCATGAAACTACGTTCAGAATTTGACATCTGATCAAGGGCAGATACCAGGTGTTGACTCATATTTTCACTTGGTTGTTAAATGCAATGGAAGTCTCAAATGTCTGTATAATGAATTATCCAACCTCTGCACAAGGATATTATTGATCAGCATAAAGCTATATGCAATGTGAGAGAGGTAAAGTAGGAAACTCTCAGAGTGAGATTCTCTGCACTTTCTGTGATTTAAATAATGAGCAGGTCTGCTTGGTAGCAACAGTACATCACTGTGGCTAACTACTGTATTCTTTTATCATCATATTCAAACATCAGTAGATCCAAAAATCTATCCCTAAAATATATTTGTGACTGGAAATCCTCCAACACCACATGAGAGAGAAAATGGGGAGGATAAAGTGCAGAAAGTTTTTCAAAGTACAAAATTTAATTTCTAATCAGTATGGCAATGGTAAACTTCTAGAGAAGGTGTTGTTACCATAATCACAGTTTCAAATATATATTATTTTTCCCTGCACTGTCATCCCCTAAGAGAAAAATTATTATTGATTTACTACACATGTATAGGTTCTACTTATGTATGCTGACCCAGGACTATATGATCACCTGTGACTACATGATCCTCTATGTGATTACATAACCCAATGTGATTACATAACCCATTATGAGACTAAATGAACCTTTATGTAGCTACATGATACTTTATTATGTTCAATTTTCTGCACACATTAAAAAAGATAGCATGTGTGCTCTCACCTTACCTCTTTGCTTAAAACTTATTCTATCATCATCGTCACTACTGGAGGAGGATGAAGAAGAGGAAGAGCTACTAGAGGTGACTGAGCTGGAGTCATCATCATCACTCTCATCATCATCATCATCATCATCATCATAGTCATTGTGCTGATCGTCATCATAACTTTGCTCACTGGCAATCTTCTCCATTTCAGTATTATTATCACATAAACTACTTTGATTCTGTAAACCAAAGGATTCAGAATTACACTTTTTGTCTTTAACTAATGAGCAGCAACCTAAAGGAAGTTCTAATGCCTCTAAACTTTTCTGCTCTTCTTCTTTTGGAGCTCTGTTCACTTTGTCTGCTCCAAATATCTCTGGAGTGATTCTTGCCTCCTTATCAGTCTCTAGCTTACAAGGTTCAGCATCCTGCATCACATTGGGACTAGACATCCCATCATTCGTCTCCTCCCTAGAGATACCCTCTCTAGTATCTTCTTCATGAATAATGAGGGTACAACTGTTATCCCCATCAATGCTATCCTCACTCATAACAGCTCCTACAGCTGACACACTTCCATCCACAAAGGAGCTACTGGGCTCAGATGGCTTCACTGGACTCAATGGTTGAATATCTGATGGGCTTTTCTCTTCTTCATTCTTACTGTTTTCCCTTGTATCTTCATCATTGCATCCGTGGTCTTCATTATCTATATCTTCATCACTCCTCTCAGCTTCAATTCTTGCTTCCCCATCACTTCGATCATATTCGCTACCTTGTGCCTCTTCACTACTCAGGTACTCGTTAGTGGTTCTATTGTCACTTCCATCTCTACTATCTTCTGACTCACTTTCCTTGTCTGCACAGATTATGTCTATGTCCACAGGGTTTGAATAATTTCTAACTGTATACAACTTGTCCTCATTAGTTATTCCTCGACTCTTTCCATTTATATAATTTTCATCCGCATCCACTTTCCTTTTCAATGAGTATTTTTTTACAAAACCATTACAAACACCTTTCCCAAGATCTTCAACATTCTCCATTTCCTGCTTAATGGCATAAGACTCAGCCTGGTCCTCCATCTCACAGTCATCTCCCACATACTCTTGATCACAACTCTGAATGGAAGATAACTTCGGCTTTAACTCTTCTTCATAATCAATTGATGCTATTGTGTTTACAGACTTTTTTGAGAATCTTTTATGCAATTTTTTCCACTTATTTAGATTATACTTCTCACCTTTCGCAGAACATGAGTGGATCTGGCAACCAGACCAGACACTTGGTAATTTATTGGAGTCAGAGTTCAACCTTGTATGAGTACTAATTAATTCATTATCTACTACTTTTATAAAATCTCCAGTTTCACTTGAGGCTGGTGTAGAACTATGACAAGGATCAGTTTCTTCATTTTCTTGGCATAAATCAACATCCTCTCCGTGATCATCATCTTCATCTAATGCATCACAGTCTGTTGCATAAGTATGTGGTGGATCTGGTTCCTCACCACTATCCCTTAAGTGGTTGTCTTCACTCTCTTCCTGTCCTTGGTAACTGTCCTTCAGGTAAGTGTCCTCACTGGCATGCTCTTGTGGGGAATTTTCCTTATTATTACTCTCTGTAATACTTCCAGGCTTTCCTTCACATTCATCTTTGGGTTGATCTTCATGTTCCCCATCCTGGTACACCTGAGTTTCTGCTTCAGTTGATGCGAGTAGCACATAGCACTCCCCCTGCACCCATCGAACAACAGTTCCTGAAGTGTATCTATGGATATCAGTGTGCTGAGACTCGGGTAGCTGTGAAGTATCCCAACCACAACCACAAGCGTCTGTGTAGAGATCATGGCCTAAGTCTTCCAATTTCTGAAATTAGAGAGGCAATATGTCTTGAAATAATATGCCCTAGTTACTGTATACACTAAATATTTGGAAGAACCAAGAAATGCATAGAGTATGAAGAAATACTTGATTGCATTACAGTTTTCATTATGTATTTCAGCTGGTTCTGCAAAGGGAAGTGGAGAAGAATCGTTCCTCCATAAGCCATGTGTGCTGTAAGAGGTGACTAAAATGCCAGGAGCAAGGGGCTAATAACCCCTTCTCCTATATAAATTACTAAATGTAAACAGAAGAAAAACTTTATTTAAGTGTCTCTTCTTTTTTGGTCACCCTGTCTTGGTGGGATATGGCCAGTGTATTAAAAAAAAATGAGGATATATGTACTTGTTTCTGTGATGAGCTTAAAATTATTGCAGTTCTGACATTCAGGCTGTTGAACTACTAGAGGGACTAAGTGATGATGTCTAATCATCATCACTTAGTCCCTCTAGTAGTTCAACAGCCTGAATGTCAGAACTGCAATAATTTTAAGCTCATCACATTCAGGCTGTTGAACTACTAGAGGGACTAAGTGATGATGTCTAATCATCATCACTTAGTCCCTCTAGTAGTTCAACAGCCTGAATGTCAGAACTGCAATAATTTTAAGCTCATCACAGAAACAAGTACAATAAATGGTGGGATAGTTAAGCTTATATTTGCAAATAAGATATAACAGATGTTTTGAACAATGGAATTGGCAAAATAGCTTGAGAAGTCTTGATCAAAAGTAAAAAAGTCTAGTGAAATAAGGAAGGAATATTTTAAAAAAGGAAATCTGAGAATTACATAAGGAAAAGGTTTGATGATATGGAGGAGTGTTTATATCAGAGACTTGAAGCTAGTCAGTCATGATTCATCTTAGAAAAGTCCAGAAAATAAAAGTGATACATGCAAGTACCTAAATGTTGTCATCCGATGTAGAGTAAATACTAACAAACATTATGAACAAAGAAGTTATATAATATGAATAACTACTGTAATTCTCATGTAAATTGTTCAGAATATCAAGCATTTATCAACAGCTTGTATTTTATATACAGCCAGACAACAACATAGCTAGATTAATATTTATACAGGTCGGCCATCACTAATCCGGCAATCAGTTATCCGGTCCCATCAGTAATCCAGCACTAATTTCAGTTAGCATAATTTAAAATTTCATCATTTCACTGACTCAAATCATTATACGGACTCAAATTTCATCATTATACTTACTCAAAAATTGTGCAGATAATTGTAAATCTACAGCAGCAAGCCAGTGGAGGAGAAAGCAGTTATGAAAATGAGGAAGATGTAGCAGAAAGAATGTCTATTGATAGGTTAATTAAGTGTATTCTAACTTAACCACTCTGTAATCCAGCAAACTTGCTAATCTGGCACACTACAGGTCCCAATGGTGCCAGATTAGTGATGGCCGCCCTGTAGTAGTTTCAGGTAGCAAACAATTATGTAATGTTAATGAAAGTTGAGCTTATTATATGCTGTTTTTTTGAGTAACAAACACTCTATAATGTTTTTTTAACCCTTAAACTGTCCAAACATAGAGCTACATTCACATGTGTTGCGCTCTGATCGTAGATCTATGTTTTATTTTACATGCTTTCAACCTTGTCATGATACGCCTGAGTTGCCTAGACATGAGAGAATGAGTCTGTGTACTCAGTGTCCACAGTATGACAAAATTCGAGGATGCTGGAAAAATGCGCTCTTCATTTTAAACAAAAATAAAAATTTTTTTTTTTCCCAAAATATTCAGAGCGGTACGCACGTGAACGTTGATATACGTTTGGACAGTTTAACCCTTTCAGGGTTGGTGCTGTACTAGTACGGCTTGCACGCCAGGGTTGGTGCCATACTAGTAAGCATAAATTCTAGCACTTTCAAATCTAGCGAGAGAAAGCTGGTAGGCCTACATATGAAAGAATGGGTATATGTGGTCAGTGTGCACAGTATAAAAAAAAATCCTGCAGCAAACAGTGCATAATAACCGTGTTTTTGCTTTAAAACAGCGACTCTGCAGTGTATTTTCGTATGCTATTTATGGTTGTATTCTAGTTTTCCTCTCTCATTTTATAGAATGGAAGACATATTACAGAAATTGAGATGATTTTGATTGGTTTCATGATGAAAAGTACCTTAAAATTGAGCTCAAAGTAGCAGAAATTTTCAGTTTTTGCCAAAGTTCAAAAGTAAACAAATCATGCCATGTGTCCAATACATGTCAACTAGTGAGTCTAATATTCTTTCACAAGTGCGCTGATATTATTTATACCATTTCTACACTAATGCAGTAGTGTGCATAACAGTAAATCTATTTTTTTGTGAGAATAAAAATTCGAAGTGGAAAGGGAAAGAAATGTAAGAGAGGCCTGGGGATGTGACTAATGAACAGAAAAAAATTTTTATTTTAGTGCCAGGAATGTCTGTCTTGTTCATTCTGGACCCTATTTGGAAATTGGCATCATTTGAAATTTGTGTGAAATGGCAAAATTGCCAATTTCTGACCACTTTATTTGATAGTTGAAATCGGTAAATGGGTGTTTTTTTGTACTCATTCAATAGAAAAAAAATGGAGTTCTAGCAAAATAGTTATGATTTCTGTCAGCTGGTACATTGGAATTAGCCGAAAATAGAGCTCAAATTGGGCGAAATCGCCGATGCGTAAACATCATTGAGACCATTAACTTCGCAAGAGCATAATTCTGTAAGTTTTCCATCAAATTTCATACTTTTGGTGTCATTATGATCAGGAAAAGATTCTCTATCATTTCATAAGAAAAAATAATTTTTTTTTTCGAAAAATTTCCGACCCTGAGAACAAGTTTAGGAGAGGGCCTGCCGACCCTGAAAGGGTTAAGGGTTAAACACTATCATTAACAAAGCTTGCATAAATATGTTTTGAGTAAATTATGACACATGGTATTATAATACAGCACGTACTTGAATGTTCAGTGAAAATACTGTAAAGAATAACTTTCATGATTGTTTAAGATTTAGTAATAAAGATGTGCAATTACTTTTCTTCCCTAGTTTAGAATATCACTATAACTATAACTACACGCCAATATCCAATTTACACCCTCTCTCAAAAATCTTTGAAAAATTAATTCATAAACGAATCTACTCCTACCTCATCTCCCAAAACATACTCAACCCCTGCCAATTTGGATTCAGGCCTAATAAAAATACTAATGATGATATTATACACATGCTAGAACATATATACACTGCAATAGAGAAAAAAGAAGTCCCACTGGGGATCTTCATTGACTTACGTAAAGCTTTTGATACAGTTGACCATGACTTGCTCCACGTAAAATTGTCACACTATGGTATAAGAGGGCACTCCCTCAACTACCTCAAGTCATACCTCAGCAACAGAAGCCAATATGTGTACGCAAATGGGGCAAGCTCTTCCGCACAACCAATTACAGTTGGTGTCCCACAGGGAAGTGTCCTTGGCCCTCTTCTCTTTCTCCTATACATAAATGACCTACCAAATGCTTCGCAATTACTCAAACCCACACTATTTGCAGATGACACTACATACGTCTTCTCTCACCCGAGCCCAGTCACGCTAGCCAATACTGTAAATACCGAATTACAGAAAATATCACCTGGATGAGGACTAACAAACTTACACTAAACATTGACAAAACCTACTTCATTCAGTTTGGTAACAGAGCTACAGATGTCCCTCTTAACATAACGATAAACGGATCACCTATCACAAAGCTAACAGAGGGAAAATTCTTAGGAATCCACCTTGATAATAGACTCAAATTTCATACACATATACAACAAATTTCTAAGAAAATTTCCAAGACTGTAGGCATACTATCGAAGATACGGTACTATGCTCCACAGTCAGCCCTCCTGGCCCTTTATCACTCTCTTATGGAATTTGTGCATGGGGCTCAACAACAATTAACCATCTCAGACCACTAATTACCCAACAAAAGGCTGCAGTTAGAATGATAACAAATTCTCACTACAGGCAGCACACTCCACCAATATTCAAAACACTCAACCTACTCACCATACAAAACATCCATACTTATTATTGCACCTATTATATACATAGAACACTTAACTCTGATATTAACCCTCCCCTCAAACATCTCCTTGCCAACCTCAACAGAACACATGACCATAACACAAGGCACAGATCACTCTTTGATGTTCCTCGTGTCCATCTTACGCAATGCAAAAACTCAATGCACATAAAAGGCCCTAAAATCTGGAATTCATTACCTGTAAATATAAAAGAAACACTACCTGTTTATAAATTCAAGTCTCTTCTCAAAGATCACTTACTCACCCAAAAACCAAATAAATACTGAATAACTGAACCTTATAAATTGTATATCTTAAATGTTTCTCACAATTATATCACATAAATGTTAAACCTAAAACCCAATCTAACAGAATACTCCATTCGACTGAATGTACAGCAATGCATGCAACCATATGACCTGTCTTTGTAATACTCATTTGTGCTTTATAGTTATCTGTTTACAATAATGACTTATCACTGATTTCATCATTGCTTAGTTAATTTTAAGTTAATTTTAAGCCAGCCCGTAATGCTATGCATATAAGTGGCTTTGGCATGCTGCTCTTACCTGTATTTTTTTGTACCTCTGTATGTATGTTCAAATTACTAAATAAATAAATAAATAAATAAATAAATATAAAGCATGTATGATATGGAAGAGGGTAAGGTACCTAGGGATTGGCAGAGAGCATGCATAGTTCCTTTGTATAAAGGCAAAGGGAACAAAAGAGAGTGCAAAAATTATAGAGGGATAAGTCTGTTGAGTGTAGGTAGTAGGTTGGTAGACAGCAACCGCCCAGGGAGGTACTACCGTCCTGCCAAGTGAGTGTAAAACGAAAGCCTGTAATTGTTTTACATGATGGTAGGATTGCTGGTGTCTTTTGTCTGTCTCATAAATATGCAAGATTACAGGTAAGTCTTGCTACTTCTACTTACACTTAGGTCACACTACACATACATGTACAAGCATATATATACACACCCCTCTGGGTTTTCTTCTATTTTCTTTCTAATTCTTGTTCTTGTTTATTTCCTCTTATCTCCATGGGGAAGTGGAACAGAATTCTTCCTCTGTAAGCCATGCGTGTTGTAAGAGGCGACTAAAATGCCGGGAGCAAGGGGCTAGTAACCCCTTCTCCTGTATATATTACTAAATTTAAAAGGAGAAACTTCAGTTTTTTCTTTTGGGCCACCCCACCTCAGTGGGATACGGCTGGTACGTTGAAAGAAGAAGAGAAGAAGTCTGTTGAGTATACCTGGTAAAGTGTATGGTAGAGTTATTATTGACAGAATTAAGAGTAAGATGGAGAATAGAATAGCAGATGAACAAGGAGGCTTTAGGAAAGATAGTGGGTGTGTGGACCAGGTGTTTACAGTGAAACATAAGTGAACAGTATTTAGATAAGGCTAAAGAGGTTTTTGTGGCATTTATGGATTTGGAAAAGGCGTATGACAGGGTGGATAGGGGGGGGCAATGTGGCAGATGTTGCAGGTGTATGGTGTAGGAGGTAGGTTACTGAAAGCAGTGAAGAGTTTTTACGAGGATAGTGAGGCTCAAGTTAGAGTATGTAGGAAAGAGGGAGATTATTTCCCAGTAAAAGTAGGCCTTAGACAAGGATGTGTGATGTCACCGTGGTTGTTTAATATATTTATAGATGGGGTTGTAAGAGAAGTAAATGCGAGGGTCTTGGCAAGAGGTGTGGAGTTAAAAGATAAAGAATCACACATAAAGTGGGAGTTGTCACAGCTGCTCTTTGCTGATGACACTGTGCTCTTGGGAGATTCTGAAGAGAAGTTGCAGAGGTTGGTGTTAATGTTGCAGTTTAAAAACTGTAGTGTAAAGCACCCTTCTGGCAAGACAGTGATGGAGTGAATGATGGTGAAAGTTTTTGTTTTTCGGGCCACCCTGCCTTGGTGGGAATTGGCCAGTGTGTTAATAAAAAAAAATAAAAACAAATAAAGCAACTTACCCTCACCAAGAGGAGGAGCAGTGAGTGAAGACCAAATAGAAGGTGACCTTGGAAGTTGTCATCTTCATGAAATGACAGGTTTACATTTTGAAGTATAATTTCTAAACCCCATGATTCAATCACACCATCTGCTGCAGCCTGAAATACAGTCTCATTGTAGACTTTTGAAAATCTTGTTTAAGAAGTCTCTGGAAGAGTAACTAATGAATGAATTACCTATTTTTGGTCCAGAAGACTTACAAGTAACTAAGACTGTTTGCCACATCAAGTTGACCACTACACTCTTTAGTCCAAATCAATACTGGCACAGTTCACTGCACAGGTCAACTTGAAGCTAATAAAATCCAACTATAGTATCTGATAAAACTGACCATTACTAAGTATAATGGCAGGAAAAATATTACCTTAAATACAGTACAGAATGACAATTATAATTACAACTCTATCTTTGATGCCAAGTTTGCTTTTGAAAGTTCCTCTACGGTGATGTAATAGAAAAGCTACCATGAACTATATTTTTGTCAAAATACTTCTTACTTTTAATGAAGGACCCACAGTAAACACTATCTTTCCCCTAAATTACATGACAGCCATATATTGTTACAAATCCTGTTTTCCACTGATAACCAGAGTTTACTCTACCTGCCTAGCTCATTACCAGCAGTAAATAAATATTTGTTAATACTGCACAAAATTTTCCCTAGGCAACCCTTGGATACCATCAACCAAGCCAGTGCACCCAGATACAAGTTCTGGCCTGTTAATCACATGATGGCAGATGAACTAAAGTGCAAATAAAAGTTACAGGGTAATTTCTGGGGCTCAGTGAACCCACTGCTACATAGTAAACACTTTCCTCACCAAAGGTAGATATAGTATTCTTTGCCTCTTGGGGTCAGATAACCCTTCTTCCCAGAATCATCCCAAAAGGATGAGAATCTGGAGACGAAGCAAATATGACTGGGCAAAATTAATCTTCCTTAACAATTATTATTATTATTATAATAAAAAAGAAGCGCTAAGCCACCTTCCTTAACAAGAAAAAGAGGCACACAAAATTAAACTGGGACCCTTAAATTTCAAAGGGTTGTAATATAAGAGCATCTTATGGAGCACTAAAAAAATTAAAGTAATGAGCCCAAGTGGTTAATCAATACCTATTTTAGTGTCTTCAGTTAACCTGCTGGTACATACTTATATCCCTTTGTATTCCCTCATTTAAGTCATTTATGTAGATTGTGAACAAAGGTTCCAGTACTGACCCCAGTGGTGTACCACTTATAATGGTCTCCATTCTGAATTCTCCCCATTTATGCAAACTCTCTGTTGCCTATTGGTCATGTGTCTCAACTCAGGAGATAATTTCTCTTCCTATACCATGTGAAACCACTGTCTTGATTAGTCTCCTCTGTGGAAATTTATCAAAGGCCTTACCACAGTCCATATACACAATATCATATTTTTTATCATGGTAACCTTAAATAACTTTGCAAAAAAAAAGTTAGTCAATTCGAAAGGCAAAAATGCCCCTTTGTAAAACCATGCTGAGTTTAACTGATTATATTATATCTTTCAAGGCAGCTTAGCATCAGCTATGTATGCCATGAAAGTTCTTTGTACACACTCCAGGTCAGCAATTTTGCCTGTCTGGAAGGGGGCAGTTAGTGTACAGCAGTATTCCAACCTAGAGAGAACAAGTGATTTGAAGAGAATCATCATGGGCTTAGCATCCCTAGTTTTGAAGGCTCTCATTATCCATCCTATCATTTTCCTAGCAGATGCGGTAGATATATTGTTGTGGTCTTTGAAGGCGAGATCCTCTGACATTATCACTCCCAGGTCTTTCACATTACTTTTTTGCTCTATTGTACAGTTAGAATTTGTTGTATACCTTGATACAGTTTTAATTTCCTCAAGTTTTCCATATCTGAGTAGTTGAAATTCCTCTTCATTGAACTTCAAATTCTTTTGAGTGGCCCACTTGAAGATTTGATTGATATCCCTTTGAAGGCTTGTGGTGTCTTCGATGGAGGACACTGTCATGGAAATTTGGGTGTCATCCGCAAAGGAAGACACAGAGCTATGGCTTACATCTCTGTCTGTGTCAGATATGACAATGAGGAATAAGATGGGAACGAGTACTGTGCCTTGTGGAACAGAGCTTTTCACTGTAGCTGCCTCGGACTTTACTCTGTTTACTATTACTCTTTGTGTTCTATTTGTCAGGAAGTTATAGATCCATCTACCAACTTTTCCTGTTATTCCTTTAGCACGCATTTTGTGGACTATTACACCATGGTCACACTTGTCAAAGGCTTTTGCAGTCAGTATATACTACATCTGCATTTTGTTTATTCTCTATAGCATCCAGGACTTTGTCACAGTGGTCCAGTAGCTGGGACAGGCAGGAGCGACCTACTCTATATCTGTGTTGTCCTGGGTTGTGTAACTGATGGGTATCCAAGTGGTTGGCGATCTTGCTTCTTAGAACCCTTTCAAAGATTTTATGATATGGGATGTTAGTGCTATCAGTCTGTAGTTCTTTGCAATTGTTTTACTGCCACCTTTGTAGAGTGGGGCTATGTCTGTTGTTTTTAGTGAGTGTGGGATGACCCCTGTGTCCATGCTCCCTCTCCACAGAATGCTGAAAGCACGTGATAGGGGCTTCTTGCAGTTCTTGATAACACGGAGTTCCATGAGTCTGGGCCTGGGGCAGAGTGCATGGCCATGTCATTTATTGCCTGTTGATTTGTTTGGGCTTTAATCTGTCTAGATGTCTGACAACCATGTTACTAGTAACTTATTCTAACCTGTATAAATACTGATTTGACAATTTTAATTATTACTTCTTTTTAGATTAGTTAAAGGATAATTTTGATATATATGTATTATTGACTGACTTAATTTTGCTCTACCAATTATCATTACATTTATGAGGGAGGAGTAGTGAACCAATAAAGGTCATACAGCACCTGGGAAATGGAAGGCTTAAACCAAGGAAAAGGAAGTTACGTCCAATTCCTTGGATGAAGAGCCCCTCACTGACATCAAGGCGCCCGCCCTCAGGTGTGCTCTTTTTTATCTTATTATCTTTATTATAAGTTTGAAGACGTTAAACATTATTAAATCCCAATAAAACAGCATATACACTGAGCTTGTAATGTTATTTTTGATAATTACCAGTCTCATTAACTCCTGAAAATGCTCTGACACTTCAATTAGGGCGTGAAGGACACTTGCGGCCATGATGCCTCTACTACTACTACTTTTATATAATAACAAGTGCCACGGTGTATACTGTAAAAGATTTTATGTCTAGTGTTTACATTGATTAATTAATGTAATAACTATTATGCACTTGTTGTTGTTGGGGTTTATAGGGCCACTCACAACTTACGCCGTAACGAACCCTGCCTTCCAGTGTCCGGAAGAGAAACTTCGATCAAAGTGGAAGGTAGTTTACTAATGACGGTGCGTATTATATGTCCCCAGAGCTCCCTGAGGCCAGCAAGAAGGAGAACTATTATGCACTCCATATTGCTGTTGTTGATGGTTTTGGATACAGCCAAAGCTTGCTTCTTATTGAGCCCTACTTCTTAATTTCTGTTGAATAGTGACCGGGAATTGGGAAGGGAATTACTAAGTAAGTTTATTTAGCTACAGATACACACAAGGACAATTATCATAAATAGTAACATAGGAAAAAGAGTTTCCTTCTACATCAGAAACTGACACAAAAAAAAGTTCCCAATTAAATCAGATGAATCTCGTGGCCTTGTTGCAAAAGTTCTCTCTTCACACAGTGAGTCCGAGTTCGATTCCCTGCAAGGGTAGAAACATTAGGCGTGTTTCCTTACACTGGTTGTCCATGTTCACCCAACAATAAAATGGGTACCTGGGTGTTAGTCGACTTGTGTGGGTCGCATCCTGGGACAAAACTGATCTAATTAATTTTAAGCCAGCCCGTAATGCTATGCATATAAGTGTCTTTGGCATGCTGCTCTTACCTGTATTTTTTGTACCTCTGTATGTATGCTTAAATTACTAAATTACTAAATTTGCCCGAAATGCTCAGCATAACAAGCGGCTTTCTATATAGTAGTATGTCATTGATGTCAGCTAGGACTGTATACCTTGTACATGTACTTGAAGTAAATAAAGATATCTCATTATTATTATTATTATTATTATTATTATTATTATTATTATTATTATTATTGTTGTTGTTGTTGTTGTTGTTGTTGTTGTTTATGTTATGGCTGAAAACAGAAGTATCAGTTATACTTTCACATCGACACCAGGCTGAGGGACTGATTACCTCAAACTCCCCATCTTCCACCGTTTCAACCTCCAGACTGTCGGCTCTTTTCGAATTTATAGATATTACTTATTCTGCCGTCACTAATACTGTTCCTCGAGTAAGTTTTTGTCAGTCGCAGGAAAAACTACGTTCACATGCTGCAGATTTAATTGAAAAGTCACGCTGATACACACCAGGTTCTGCAGATCTATGACAGATTAGATTTTGCCACCGAAGTGGCTAGTTTATTGTGCACCCCATATCCATCCTGTGGACGGTAGCACAAGAGCTTATGGATACACAAAAGGCCTAGGAACTAGGCCCCAAAAGGGTTAACAGGTGTACATTTGGATTTATATCTACAGTTCACTTATCTGTTACAAGCAAATTTAGGAAATTTAGGAAATTTGCTTAGTATATATGGTATCTTATTTTCGTTAATAAGATATCTTGACATGTCACATAGGTTATTATACTGTCTATCTCTGTATTCCTCAATAAGTGGACAATTAAGCACATAGTGTTCAAGACAGTCACCATATGAACATTAAAATGGTATAAAATACCGACAGGTTGTTAGGTAAGACACATATGCAACAGTTAGGTATCTTTATTTCGAAACGTTTCGCCTACACAGTAGGCTTCTTCAGTCGAGTACAGAAAAGTTGATAGAAGCAGAAGAGACTTGAAGACGATGTAATCAGTCCATCACCCTTGAAGTTTTGAGGTGGTCAGTCCCTCAGTCTGGAGAAGAGTATTGTTCCATAGTCTGAAACAATATGGAATTGGAGTGACAGGATGGAGCCTTATTACCGCCAACTTCAACTCCACATTGTTTCAGACTATGGAACAATACTCTTCTCCAGACTGAGGGACTGACCACCTCAAAACTTCAAGGGTGATGGACTGATTACATCGTCTTCAAGTCTCTTCTGCTTCTATCAACTTTTCTGTACTCGACTGAAGAAGCCTACTGTGTAGGCGAAACGTTTCGAAATAAAGATACCTAACTGTTGCATGTATCTTACCTAACAACACAGTCACCATATGCCTGATCACATAATTTACATTTAGTTTGATCATCATCTGTGTGTCTCCCAAACTGCCAGAAGTACTTGTAACCAAGCCTAAGCCTGGCCACTACAACATCAGTCAGTCTGTTCACATTGCAAGTTGCTCCATAAACATACTTATCTACGTTCATGTTATCATAGTGGGTTATAGATCTACTCAGGCTTCTAACTGCATTCATATAACAATCATTTTCATTATTTACTTCTCTCCTAATATTATTCCTAATGCTAGACACAGATATACCAAAGTTATATTCTACATTCTCCTTCAGGGTACTCTTCTTGGCTAACATAACTTTATCATGAAGGAGCAATCCAATGTGTGATGGGATCCATAGCAATTGTACATTAATTCTTTTGTCCTGGATTTTTGAGTATCTATACCTGGCTTCTCCAATTCAATTCAATTCAAGTTTATTCTCTATAAGGGTTAGATTAGATTTTAGATTTTGCCACCGAAGTGGCTAGTTTATTGTGCACCCCATATCCATCCTGTGATTGCTTTACTGCCCTGCTTGGGTAAGGTGCTAGAACGACTGGTGGCTACCCGTCTCTCTTGGTGGACCGAGGAACATGGCCTGATAACCAGAGTGGCTTCAAAGAAGGTCGATCCATCCTCGACCCTTTGCTTTAATTTATACAGCTCGTGCACACTTCATTTGAATGCCGGGAGTTCCTTTTGGCTGCATATTTGGATCTACGCAGAGCATTTGACTCTGCATCACACAGCAATTGTTTTCAAGCTGGCCCGCATGGGGCTGACAGGAGCTCCCCTCTGCTGGATGCGCAACTTTTTAGCAAGGGAGGACCTTTCGTGTTGCAGTGGGTGGCACTTTGTCCTCACCCTATTCTGTTCAACGATGAGAAATTTCAATTACTCAGATATGGTAAACATGAGGAAATTAAATCTTCATCAGAGTACAAAACAAATTCTGGCCACAAAATAGAGCGAAACACCAACGTCAAAGACCTAGGAGTGATTATGTCGGAGGATCTCACCTTCAAGGACCATAACATTGTATCAATCGCATCTGCTAGAAAAATGACAGGATGGATAATGAGAACCTTCAAAACTAGGGAGGCCAAGCCCATGATGACACTCTTCAGGTCACTTGTTCTATCTAGGCTGGAATATTGCTGCACTCTAACAGCACCTTTCAAGGCAGGTGAAATTGCCGACCTAGAAAATGTACAGAGAACTTTCACGGCGCGCATAACGGAGATAAAACACCTCAATTACTGGGAGCGCTTGAGGTTTCTAAACCTGTATTCCCTGGAACGCAGGAGGGAGAGATACATGATTATATACACCTGGAAAATCCTAGAGGGACTAGTACCAAACTTGCACACGAAAATCACTCACTACGAAAGCAAAAGACTTGGCAGACGATGCACCATCCCCCCAATGAAAAGCAGGGGTGTCACTAGCACGTTAAGAGACCATACAATAAGTGTCAGGGGCCCGAGACTGTTCAACTGCCTCCCAGCACACATAAGGGGGATTACCAACAGACCCCTGGCAGTCTTCAAGCTGGCACTGGACAAGCAACTAAAGTCAGTTCCTGATCAGCCGGGCTGTGGCTCGTACGTTGGTTTGCGTGCAGCCAGCAGCAACAGCCTGGTTGATCAGGCGCTGATCCACCAGGAGGCCTGGTCACAGACCGGGCCGCGGGGGCGTTGACCCCCGAAACTCTCTCCAGGTAAACTCCAGGTATACCGGGGAGTGCCCCAGGGATCTGATCTTAGCCCACTCATTTTCTCTGTCTTATTGTCGGATCTCCCTTCCATCCAGGGAGTGCATACCCTGGTATAAGCAGATGATGTGGCCCTTATGTGCAGTGCCCCGGCTTTACTGACAGCGCAGGAAACACTTCAGGGTGCCCTGCAACGCATAACATCATGGGCCGCCACCTGGGTTTTGGAGGTTAGTGACACTAAGTCTAAGCTCTTATGCTTTACTAGACGCCGACTCCCCACTCTTCCATCAGTCTCATTGAATCAGACGCCAATCCCTTTGGTCTCCTCTCATCGTTGATTGCGAGTCACCTTAGATGCACCATTCTTGACACGGAAGAAATACATAGCGGCCCTCCACCTCTCGTGTGCACATCGCATTGCACTTATGCGCCGGATCTCTGGCACCAAGTGGGGGGCGGATCGAGACCTTCTCTTTAGGCTCTATACAGCTATGGTTCGCAGCAAGCTCACTTATGCGAGTGAGGTGTATGGCTCGGCTTCTTCCTCCTCTCTTCATCGCTTAGACATTCTCCATAATTCAGCCATCCGTAATATGCTGGGGGCATTCCCTTCCGCAGCCTTGGAGGCAGAGTCAGGGACAGTCCCTCTCTCGTCGGTGAGGACAGCGAGGAACTGTTTACGACTCCATCATATGGCCTCTCTGCCTTGTACTCACCCCTGCTGCCTCTCTCCACAGATGTGGGAGACAGCGTCTGTCCCCCCACGTTTGGTTCAGCCTTCCTTTGTAGCCAGGGCCCACCGTTCCGATACATTCACCTGGATTGGCACTACAGGAACAGGGAACCCCATCAGTTAGTTGCATTTCTATTTTTAAGAGTTTTGCTCTGTTACATATGACTCTTCATTCTCCGTCTACACGGATGGCTCGGCACGGACCTCCCCCCCTTCCGCATCCTCTGTAGCCTTCTTTGCTAATCTCTCCCTATGTCAAACGTGATGGTTGGACCCTGCTCATTCTGTTCTGGCAGGGGAGCTCTTCGCCATTCACCAGGTTCTGGCTTTTGTGCTAGATCACATTCCCCCGCAACCATTGGTTCTCTTCTCTGATTCCCAATCTTCCCTGGCACTTTTGTGCTCTGCCGTTCCATGGTCACTACGCGTCCTCGTTTGTCGGACACACTCTCTCCTCCTGCACTTCTTGCGGAGCCCAGGTTGGAGCATCTCCCTTCAGTGGGTACCCGCCCATGTTGGAATCCGGGGCAATGAAGCGGCAGATCGGGCGGCCTCCCTCTCGCACACACTTCCTGCTATTACCCCTCTTGCCCTG